TCCCCAACCTTGGCAACGTTAAGACCTGTGGACTTCATCTCCCAGAATTCCCCAGCCAGTCCAGAGGGCTGATGTTGGTTTTTGTCATCTTTAAAGCCTGCACACTTAGCAGTCTGGAAAACGGGCTGAATTCAAGCCTTATATAGTTGACATTTATAAGGAAGGCTGCTTTGTTTGAGTTTGTGTGTGTGTATGTGTGTGTGTTCCTGTCGGCTTTTAACTGGGATGCTCTCAATAGGGGCCTCTCCCTTTTTTCTCCAATTCAGCCTCATTTTGAAGTCTACTTCTGTTTTGAAATGAGGGAGGGGGGAATTGGGCCCTTTCCCAACTAAATCTTGGCTTTTTTTTTTTTTTTAAATGGCAGTATTGTATAAATAACACCGTGCAGACATCCCTGACAATCTGCAATAATATTCTTTCCACCCAGAGAAATTATGGACAGGAGCTGAAATTCGGCAAGGAAAGATGTCGTTTACAATAGCGGTGTTTTTGCAGCAGCACTTTGCCAGATTTCTTTTTCTCTTTCTTTTTTTCAAAGGCGAGGGAAAATTTGACAGATCCTTTGAAACACTTTGGCTGTTCCTGGAGCCAAAATAAACGTCGGATTATTTTGTACCGCTATCTGTGGCGGGGGATGTTTCCCCTAGCCAAACCAGGCTTAATCTCTTTGCTCTCTAGTGCTTTGCATTTTCAACTTCGTTAAAAAGCCGAACTGAAGTGCATTAATCTTGTAAAGTAATAAAAAAAAAACATCCCCTATCTCAAAGACTAAGTTTCCTATTCATTGTAGTCTCCCTTAATCAAATCAGCCAGGTGTCTCCGTGGTTGCCTTGCTATTAAGGCCCTTCGCTGGAGTTCTCCACAAAGGATTAGTCAAAGCTTTGATGTTACTGCAGATGTGCTAATCAGGTCAAGCTTTTAAATGCTGGCAACTTAAAAAGCAGCATTGTGGGGATAACTTGAGGATGGTGGTAAATGTCTGTTGTGTAGTTTCCTTAGAAAGAATTTCGGTCTCAAAGACTGATTTATAAGTAGTTCTTTACTAACAACAGTTCATTTAGTTCAGTGGCTCCCAACCTTTTCTATACCCTGCGCCCCTAGAATGCTTCTGATATATTTTCACACCCCTTTGTTGAAGGAAAAATCTTCATCATGGTTCAGTCCAAGCCGGGAATAAACTGCAACCTTCTTTCTAAAGCAGTCGCCATGTTGTTTATTCCCGGCTTGGACTGAACCATGATGAAGACTCTTCCGTCTTCCTCACCTTACAAAAGTTTGAAATAATGGCAACGAATTATGCACATACACTTATAATTTTGAAAACCCAAGTTTTCGCACCCCCTGGAATATCATCTCGCACCCCCGGTTGGGAACCCCTGATTTAGTGACTGTTTTGAAGTTACAGTGGCACTGAAAAAAGGGGACTTATAACCATTTTGCAGCGTTCCCCTTGGCCACGTGATCAAAGTTCAGATGCTTGGCACAACGGTTGCAGCATCCCAGGGTCACGTGATCCCCTTTTGCAAGCTTCTGACGAGCGAAGTCAATGGGGGAAGCCAGATTCACTTAACAACTGTATGATTCACTTAACAACTGCAGTGATATGCTTAATAACCATGGCAATATATCAATATGTAAATAATAAATAAGTAACAATGAGTTTGGAACATCCTCGTAACAAGTTGTCCTCAAATTAAGAGCTCAACTGTGGCGTGAATTTCCGTTGCTAAGCAAGATAGTAGTTACGTGAGGTGCGCTCGATTTTATTATTTTTGCCATTATTTATTGATTTATGAAATTGAACGCTGCCCAGAGTCATTTTCAATGACTCTGAGCGATGGTTAAGCAAATCACTGCAGTCGTTAAGTGAATTGCACAGTCGTTAAACAGACCTTGACTCCCCTTGACTTTGTGTCTTGAAAGCCAGCCAGCAAGGCTGCAAATGGTGATCACATGATCTCAGCATACTGCAATGATTATAAATCCATGCCTGTTGCCAAGTACCCGGTTTTGAATCCCATGAACGTGGTGTCATGATTCCGACAGATGAAACTCTTCAAAGAACTTTGAGGCATTGTTTACTTTAAAGAATCTTTATTCAAGTAGCATAGCATCAGCACTAACATAATTGAAGCCAAAAACTGAATTCCCCTCCCCTGAGCACATAGTATCCAAGCACAATTCTCTCCTCCAATTAACAGTCATAAATCACATTCTCCAATTAGTTTTAAATGCAGGCTTCCCCTCCAGTTCTCCAGCCCGGCCAATTCTTATCATCTCTTATTTCAATAACCTTGGTTCTCACACTAGGTCCAGTATTGTTATGTCTAGCTAAACTCTCATGCACATTCCTCCCCCCAGCATCATCTAACTCTAACTCTAACTCTAACTCTAAAAGTAAAACATAAGAAGAAAATGGTTGCATCTCCAACTGTTGTCAAAGCAAAAACATCCGATGTTGCCACATGGGGATGCTGCAGGGGTCATACGTGCAAGGGCCGGCGATGTTGTAAATTTGATCAGTTGCTAAATGGATGGATGTAAGTCTTGAACTCTCTGTATATAGGTAGATATAAGTACAGGTAGTTCTCAACAACTACAATTGAGCCCAAAATTTCTGTTGCTAAGTGAGACATTTCTTAAGTGAGTTTTGCCCTATTTTACGACCTTTCTTGCCAGAGATGTTAAGTGAATCACTGCAGTTGTTAAGCTACTAACACGATTATTAAGTGAATCTGGCTTCCCCGATGACTTTGCTTGTCAGAAGGTCGCAAAAGGGGATCACGTGACCCCGGGACACTGCAACCGTCATAAATATGAGTTGCCAAACATCTGAGTTTTGACCACGTGGCCATGAGGTCATAAGGATGAAAGATGGTCATAAGTCACTTTTTCCAGTGCCGTTTGTAACTTTGAATGGTTGCTCAACAGAGGTGTAAAAGTGGAGAACTCTCTGTATGTAGGTGGATATCAGTACTAGCCATGATGGATATCGGTACTAGCCACGATGGGAAAGTCCCAAGCGCTTCTGAATCGGCTGATCGTGCCATTGCTGAAGCTTGTGGTTGGAGCTTCAGGACAGGCCATGTTATTTTTGTGTTAAAAGCAAGGGGAGGTTTGTCCCAGGGTGACTTCTCACATGACTGCCGGAGCCTATAAATAATCACCTTGCACTTCAACCTGGAGAAGAACTAACAAGTGATATGATACATGGCGCATGTGTGATCAGGATAAAGGAGCGAAAGAGGCATGGGGACGAAGACAAGTGCAGGAAAGGCAAATCTACATGCCCCAGGATACTGTTGCAGGATCCAATCTGGGTCAGTCACCGGGACCAGATGGACAGTGATCCATATTTATATGTTACTTATATGTAAGGGTGTAGGTCTATACCAATGATGGCGAACCTTTTAGAGACCGAGTGCCCAAACTGCAACCCAAAACCCACTTATTTATCGCCGGGTGCCAGGTGTGCATGGCCCACTGGGTGGGTATGGCTGTGGTAATCATGGCAGACTGGGTGGGTGTGGCCAAGGTGGGTGTGGTCACTTCGATGTTGTTCGTGGGGAGGGATGCCTGTGGGGGACTGGCAGGGTTGGGGGAGATCCAGGGGGTCTCTGGCAGGTGGGGCGGTGGGCAGGAGGCTCGTCCTGTGGGGTGAGGCGAGGCAAGGCGAGGCAGGGTGGGGTTGCCATTGTCGCAGGCAAGGCGAGGCAGGGGCCGGAGCGGCTGCTGCCTGACACCATCGACCTCTGCACACAGAGGCCAGCGAGCGCATGGGAGCTGACAGTGTCCGTCAGCAGCCACAGCCTGCCGGCCCCTCAACTGGCACACTTTGGGGCTCGCAGCCCGCCACCAGCAGTTCAGAGAAGCTGCCTCTGAGCTGGATGGCCGGCGGACAGCTGAGGGGGCGAATGCAGTGGGTCGTGCCCGGGAAAAGGAGAGCATGTGAGGCCAGGAGGGACAGGACGGGGGGAGGGAAACCAGTTGTGTTGGGATGCATCTGGCCATGTGGGACCTTGGCGAGTTAGCGGGCAGCTGGTTGAAGAGGGGCGGTTGCCATCTCTGGGGCATGGCACGTGTGCCCACAGAGAGGGCTCTGAGTGCCGCCTCTGACACACGTGCCATAGGTTCGCCACCACTGGTCTATACATATGTTGTATATCAGGGGTCTTCAAAGTTGGCCCTTTTATGACTTGTGGACTTCAACTCCCAGAATTCCTCAGCCAGCGTGCCTGGCTGAGAAATTCTGGGAGTTGAAGTCCACAAGTCATAAAAGGGCCAACTTTGAAGACCCCTGTTGTATATAGTATGTTTTAAATGTAGTGTTATGTATGTGTAACACTTTGAGAGCAAGCAACTAAACTTCATTTTTAACGTGTGCCCTTGAGCCCACAGAAAAAAAATGTCAATAAAGGTTATCTAATCTAATCTACTGTAGTCTAGTCTAGTCTTCCAAGCTTTCGGACTAGTGCCGGAGGCCATCCTTAGGGAACTTCTCTCTAGCAGAGGGTGTGCTTTGGGCTATTCTGTGTGTGGTGTTTATGTGCTGCCTGTCGTGTGTGGCTTTTTCGTTGTTCAACCTTCCTGAGCAATAGATGCCAGAGAATTGGGGCCAGCTGCTCATAAAAATTAAGACTTGCCTAATGCTTTCAAGCCTACAGATTGCTTTAGGTGCACTTACCAGGTTATGAGCTAACCACCTTATAAAGCAAGCTGGCCTCATTTTCTTCCCAGATTACAAACGGGAAACTCTTTGACGAAGCCCACCTGGTGAGTTCAGGGCAGAGGCCAGGTTTGAAATGGGGTCATCTTAATTTGCAGCCCACGGCTCTCCTCCCTTTTAAAACAACCGTAAGCAACAGATTTGGTAGGAATGACTTCTAAGCTCTCTTTGCTTTGTTTTTCAACTTGACCGCAGGGGTCACGCAGAAGGACCCAGAGATAGATGTTCCTCTTCTGATCGCCCAGGTTGACATTTTTCTCATCTTTTCTTTCAGGTCATATACTGTTCTTTTGGTGGCACGTCGAAAGGACTACATTTCAATAACCTGATAGTGGGCTTAGTCCTCCTGACGAGGGGCCGAGATGAAGAGAAAGCCAAATGTAAGTATCAGTCATTTGTGGAGATCCTCAACCATCCAGGTCGTGGTTGTCCCAAAGGTGCTTTTTCCAAAAGGCAACTGGACTTTCTTGCTGTTTTCTTTGAAAACATTTCCCTTCCCTAGAAGCTGAAGAAGCTTCTAAGGCAGTGGTAGCGAACCTCTCTGTGGGCACGCGCACCATGCCCCGGAGATGGCAACCGTCCCTCTTCAACCAGCCGCCCGCTAACTCGCCGAGGTCCCACATGGCCAGATGTATCCCAGCACCCATGCACTCACTGGCCTTTGTGTGCAGGGGCCGATGGTGTCAGGCAGCAGCCGCCCCGTCCCCTGCCTCACCTTGCCCTGTGACAATGGCCCCCCTGCCCTGCCTCGCCTTGCCTCGCCTCACCCCGCAGGACGAGCCTCCTGCCCACCGCCCCACTTGCCAGAGACCCCCCGGATCTCCCCCAACCCTGCCCAGCCCCCATGAGCAACATTGAGTTGATCACGCCCACCTTGGCCACACCCACCCAATCTGCCATGACCACCACAGCCACGCCCACCCAGTGGGCCACGCCCACCTGGCACCCAGCGATAAATAAGTGGGTTTTGGGTTGCAGTTTGGGCACTTGGTCTCTAAAAGGTTCGCCATCACTGTTCTAAGGTGAGAAGTGAAATGTTTTCAAAGGGGGGGGGGGAAACCCAGCCTTTTGGAAAAAGCACCTTTGGGGTAAGTACCAGTCCTGTTTGGAAGAGAGACAAGGCACGGGTGGCCTGGTGTTCCAGTTAGAGTTTTCCCAATTAACAGCTGCAGTTAGTCCTTGGCTTACGACCACAATTGAGCCCAACATTTCCATTGTTAAGTGAGACATTTGTTAAGTGAGTTTTGCCCCATTTTACGACCTTTCCTGTCGCAGCTGTTAAGTGAATCACTGCAATTGATAAGTTAGTAACCCAGTTGTTAAGTGAGTCTGGCTTCCCCATTGATGCCACTTGTCAGGAGGTCGCAAAAGGGGATCACATGATAAATAGGAGCCAGCTGCCAAGCATCTGAATTTTGATCACATGATCATGGGGACGCTGCAAAAGTCATAACTGTAAAAAAAAAACCCACGGTCATAAGTCCCTTTTTTCAGTGCCATTGCAACTTGGAACGGTCACTAAACGAGAGGTCACTAAGTCGAGGATACTTGTACAGTGATTCACTTAACAACTGTGGCAAGAAAAGTCATAAAATCAGCTGAATTCCCATTAAAAGCTTGGACACCAAACTGAGTCCTTCTGTTCCTAGACATCCTGAGAAGAATCCATAACGAATCCATCCTGTTCTTTCCCTACCTCTTCCCTACCCGTGGCCTACGGTGGGTGCTGGATTACAGTCTCCCCCCCCCCCATATGATTGGCCAAAATTGTGGAAACCTTTTTGGAAAAGTGTACAGTAGAAATGCCACCTTTGGTTAGGTTTCCACCAATTTTTATTCTAATTTCTTTATAACTGTAGCCTTGTTCACTTAATAATACTATTTTACATCGTTTTCTGGGCAACCAGTCAACTCTTTGCACCATGACTTTAATTTTATTACGTTTTACAAGCCCACTAAATGAAAGAATACAAAAAAACCCAACCAACTTGATAGCGATCACATCACACACTGACAAATGTCCTCTCAGCTTCAATACATGACATCAATCACTGAATCCTGCCGTGATCTGATTGGCTCATTGCCAAAACAAGATGACACCTGATTGGTTCTCTAAACACTCCTGCTCATTGGCTACAATCAGATGAAGGAAAGCTACCTGATATCAACCTAAGCAAGTCGTGCTTCCTTTTTCTGGTTATTTGGCTGCAACTTTTCATAGAATGCAGTACAGATAATTGAACAGACTTTGTCTGTTCATTCTTGATTAAATTACCTTCCCATTGATATAAAATTTTATGGTACTACTCAAAACAAAAGTGGTGTTATTAGCCATCCAACCTCAAAAATACACTTTTTCCCAAAAGGTTTCCACAATCTTGGCCACTACTGTAATTGAGGACTTATGAGAGGTGTAGTCCAACATGGGGGGCAGGGGATGGCTTTCTGACTTTCAGAGCTCATGGTAAGTGAGTTTTACTCAGCAGTTTCTCCTCCCAAGTGCATCCCATTTAAGGCCAAATTAGATACAACAATTGGCTCTTGTGAAGTTGATAAGAGGTAGTCCTCGAGTTACAATCACAACTGAGCCGAAAATTTCTGTTGCTGTTGTTAAGTGAGTTTTGACCCCATTTACGGCCTTTCCTGCCACAGGTGTTAAGTGAGTCACCGCATTTTTTTTTTAAAGTTAGTTACACGATTGTTAAGCGAATCTGGCTTCCCCATTGACTTTGCTTGTCAGAAAGTCACAAAAGTCATCATGATCCCGGGACACTGCAGCCCGTCATAAATGCAGGCTGGCTTCCAGGTGCCCAGATTTTTGATCCCGTGACCGTGGAGATGTTGCAACAGCCGTAGGAAAAATGAGAAAATCAAAACTGGCCATAAATCACTTTTTTTCAATGCCATTGCAACTTTGAACACTCACTAAACGAACTGTTGCAAGTCGAGGACTACTCGTACAGCGGGCTAAGGAAGATCGGAGGTTTTTGAGATGTGGGGAAACCGAATCGGCTTCCGCCAAGCGCTTGCAATAGGAAAAGGAATCTCCCAAAAGTCACTTCTGTAGCATGTCCAATATTTCAGTGGTTCTCAACCTGTGATCCATGGACCGTTGGGGAGTCCATTGTGTTATAACAGGGGTCCGCAAAGTCTTGAAAAAATGTTACGATTTAAATTATTATTATTATTATTTTATTATTATTATTATTATTTAATTTATATACCGCCCTTCTCCCGTAGGACTCAGGGCGGTTCACAGCATATTTAAAAAACAGATACTATACACAAATACAAAAATACAAAAAACACAAAAATATAAACCCCAATAAAAACCGAATTAAAAACCAAATATTGACGGCTGTGTTTCCAATTAAAATTGCTGTTAAAATCAACCCTACCTAAAATCCTCCCTAGGTCAGGCCCGCTTGCTGGAAAAGCCATGTCTTGAGGGCGCGGCGGAAAGTAAGGAGATCCGGAATCATCCGGATCTCGGGGGGCAGTTCGTTCCAGAGGGTGGGGGCACCCACAGAGAAGGCCCTCCCCCTGGGGGTCGCCAGCCGACATTGCTTGGCCGACGGCACCCTGAGGAGGNTCTCACCTACATCGTCCACAAGGGACGACTCGGGAACTCAACTCCTACCTCGGGCAGCTCACCTTTCCCCCTATGCCCAGGGGAGAGGTATCAAGCCGTTTGACAGCTGATGCAGGCTGTCAAAACGGCTTTAACGCAGAAACAGGCGGGAGCAGCAAACAGCTGCGTCCAGCGAAGGCGCCTGCCACCGGAAGTCCCGGATGTAAGTCTTGAACTCTCTGTATATAGGTAGATATAAGTACAGGTAGTTCTCAACAACTACAATTGAGCCCAAAATTTCTGTTGCTAAGTGAGACATTTCTTAAGTGAGTTTTGCCCTATTTTACGACCTTTCTTGCCAGAGATGTTAAGTGAATCACTGCAGTTGTTAAGCTAGTAACACGATTATTAAGTGAATCTGGCTTCCCCGATGACTTTGCTTGTCAGAAGGTCGCAAAAGGGATCACGTGACCCTGAGACACTGCAACCGTCATAAATATGAGTTGCCAAACTTCTGAGTTTTGACCACGTGGCCATGAGGTCATAAGGGTGAAAGATGGTCATAAGTCACTTTTTCCAGTGCCGTTTGTAACTTTGAATGGTTGCTCAACAGAGGTGTAAAAGTGGAGAACTCTCTGTATGTAGGTGGATATCAGTACTAGCCATGATGGATATCGGTACTAGCCACGATGGGAAAGTCCCAAGCGCTTCTGAATCGGCCGATCGTGCCATTGCTGAAGCTTGTGGTTGGAGCTTCAGGACAGGCCATGTTATTTTTGTGTTAAAAGCAAGGGGAGGTTTGTCCCAGGGTGACTTCTCACATGACTGCCGGAGCCTATAAATAATCACCTTGCACTTCAACCTGGAGAGGAACTAACAAGTGATATGATACATGGCGCATGTGTGATCAGGATAAAGGAGCGAAAGAGGCATGGGGACGAAGACAAGTGCAGGGAAGACAAATCTACATGTCCCAGGATACTGTTGCAGGATCCAATCTGGGTCGGTCACCGGGACCAGATGGACAGTGATTCATATTTATGTGTTACTTATATGTAAGGGTGTAGGTCTATACCAGACCGAGTGCCCAAACTGCAACCCAAAATCCACTTATTTATCGCCGGGTGCCAGGTGGGCGTGGCCTACTGGGTGGGTATGATTATGGTGGTCATGGCAGACTGGGTGGGTGTGGCCAAGGTGGGTGTGGTCACCTCGATGTTGTTCGTGGGGAGGGATGCCTGTGGGGGATGGGCAGGGTTGGGGGAGATCCAGGCAAGGCGAGGCAGGGGCCGGGGCAGCTGCTGCCCGATACCATCGGCCCCCACACACAGAGGCCAGCGAGTGCATGGGAGCCGACAGTGTCCGTCAGCAGCCACAGCCTGCCGGCGCCTCGACTGGCGCACTCTGGGGCTCCGCAGCCCACCGCCAGCAGTTCAGAGAAGTCGCCTCTGAGCTGGATGGCTGGCGGACAGCTGAGGGGGCGAATGCAGTGGGTCGTGCCCGGGAAAAGGAGAGCATGTGAGGCCAGGAGGGACAGGACGGGGGGAGGGAAACCAGTTGTGTTGGGATGCATCTGGCCACGTGGGACCTCGGCGAGTTAGCAGGTGGCTGGTTGAAGAGGGACGGTTGCCATCTCCGGGGCATGGCGCGCGTGCCCACAGAGAGGGCTCTGAGTGCCGCCTCTGGCACGCGTGCCATAGGTTCGCCACCACTGGTCTATACATATGTTGCATATCAGGGGTCTTCAAAGTTGGCCCTTTTATGACTTGTGGACTTCAACTCCCAGAATTCCTCAGCCAGCGTGCCTGGCTGAGAAATTCTGGGAGTTGAAGTCCAGAAGTCATAAAAGGGCCAACTTTGAAGACCCCTGTTGTATATAGTATGTTTTAAATGTAGTGTTATGTATGTGTAACACTTTGAGAGCAAGCAGCTAAATTTCATTTTTAACATGTGCCCTTGAGCCCACAGAAAAAAATGTCAATTATTATTATTATTATTATTATTTTAATTTCTATACCGCCCTTCTCCCGCAGGACTCAGGGCGGTGCACAGCATATTAAAACAGATATACATATCAATAAAAATAAAAACCCCTCTAAAACCAAATTAAAACCAAATATTCGAAGCTGTGTTCCAATTAAAATTATACTTAAAATCGTCCCTAAATAAAATCCTCCT